ACATGTGAACTATAGAAATAAAAAATCTCTTATTGAGAATTCTAAGCTTGCATTTCACAAAAAACTAAATCAGCTGTTTCATGCAAGATAAAAAAATGCTTCAATGGGAAGAGATTAAAGAGGTTATCTTTCATTGGTTTTGCATATGTTACAAAAATCATATATTTGCTTTTACTATTCTTATCTTCATGTTGCAATATCTATTACCAATTAATCAGTTGTTCCTTTACTGACTCTGTCCATTTACAGATTGTGGACTACATATGTGCACTGTGTATCTCATTGACCCGTAAAACGCCTATTGTAAATATAAGCTATGTGTTTCCAAAAACAGCTAGCTCTATGCAGCATTCTATGTTAGGATTTGAATGCTCTCTGGTGGCCAATCATTGTTCCCATACACTATTATTATTCCCATTCCTAGCCTGCCCCAGATTGGATAGAAGATCTGCAAAATCAGTAATGCAATGATGGAAAAATACAACACATTTTATATGTGAGTAGCATCCCCCTCACACTCACACAAACGCCTAGGAGCAGGGTCTCCTTATAGGCAAATGTGAAATAAGAGATAAACATGCCAGCAATTCTTGACACTGGCCGTGGGCCTTCTTCACCCAAACTGAAGGCTATGGAATAGAAACCTCAAGTTAGGAGTTTGGAAATTTCCTTCCTTGCTTTTCACTAACTGCAATTTAAAATGTGAGTGGGATGAGCCTGACAGATGCCACTTTCCATCTTACCTTCTCTCAGGCAGTGATGGCCAAAGTAAGTATTCCAATACAGGTTTGTGCTCATGCTGGTAGTACTGGCTTCCCATCTATCATGCATCGCTTTTTAAAGCTTTTTTTTTTTTTTGCTACATACTGTGAGTTGTGTAGTGTATGTATGTAAAATATGTGTGTGCGGATGTGTACCTCTGTGCATAACCATGGAGGCAAGAGAGGGACATTGGATGTCTTGCTCTATCTCTCTCTACATTATTTCCTTGATATACATCCTTTTACTGAACTCAGAGGTAGGCTGGTGGGCAGCATGTCACTACGATCTTCTTATCTCCAACTTCTATAGTGCTGGGATTACAGGTGTGCACAACCATGCCCATCTTTTTACACAGGTACTTGAAATTCAAACTCTGGCCCTCCTGTCTACATCTCAGGTTCCCTTGCCTGCTGAGCCATCTCTCAGCCCCCCCCCCCAACCCATGTATTCTTGTAACACTACTGGTCAAAATAAAACTGGATAGAAGTAGCTTAATACTATGTGCAATTATGTCACCTCAGTAATACACACAGTTCTTTATACACAGTCAGTGCTCAAACAACATTTATATTATTATGCATGGCTGCCTTTTTCTATGCAACAAGGTTTTATTTGCTACAGTAGTCTTCCGGTGTTGGCCCTTATAGCCCATAAGAATGCTCATGCTAACTTAGAGGTCCTGAGTGAACCAAGCCCCAAGGGATCCAGTGGCCTGTCCAAGCCCGTATTGGTAATTGGTGAAAAATCAAGGAGAACACACATCTTCAGGCTCTGTAGTCATTTATTCTTTGTGGTTTGCATTTTTAAATATGGGCATACCTATATAATAATAATGCAATGTTTTTAAGGAGCAGGCCACATTTGTCCCTGCGACATGACTTATAATGGATATGTCAGAATGGCAGGTCCCCCAAAGGCACCCCAATACATACTTCCTCATGTCCAAAAAGAATATAGCTGGGCTAAGACAAACAGTAGGACCAATTCAATTTACCCAGGTGGTTAAGCAGAGCTAATGGGAAAAGTAAGAAATGAAACAAGCCCACTAACAAAGCTCATAAGCAATCAATCCCACTCTGAAAGGGATCACAGTTTCTGATAAAGCTGAAAACTAAACAGAATTTGGAAGACTTTTGAATCAATAGTCTCCATGGTTTTCATTTTCATTTAAGGGAGAAAATACTGCAGGCCTGCAGCAAGACTGATAGATTGCTCCTTGATCAATTCTTCCCTTCTCCTGGTTGTACAAACAAAACCATAAATTATACTAATTCCTATTTTGGCTAAATGATTTTCAGGGTGGAAGGTGACAGCCCAAGTCATCATGGATTCATCTTGCACAAACCCCAGAATCACAGCATCTGAATGCCTTCTCTCTCTCTCTCTCCCTCTCTCCCTCTCTCCCTCTCTCCCTCTCTCCCTCTCT